ACTTGATGATTTAAAAATAATTATGAGTTGAAAATATCCTATTGCGTGATAATCGTATGAGCAAATTATTATTATTATTATTATTATCATAAAAAAAAACATTCACGGTCTTACCGATGGAGCAGGTGCAGGGGCGTTATAGGAAGGAACAGGAGGGCTGTAGGATGGAGCAGGAGGACTGTACGAGGGAACAGAGTCAGCAAGAACGCCAACCATAAGGGCAAAGAGGGTGACGATCTGCGGGTGAACGTAGAGAGTAATGAAAACCATCTCGTGGTTGAAATACGTTAAGTTCCATGGAATAAACTAAAAGTGTCGCGAACTTACCTTGAGAGTCATGTTTGTCAGACTGGAAGAGAGGAATGAGTGATACTGTCTGTGGGTGCCTGCGGTTTATATATGCAATAGTCCGCCCTCATTGCAAGTTGTGACGTCATTAGACATGGAAATGGAAAGGTCGCGTCGGAGGCACTTTGAGAACGTAAAACAGTAGCAGTAATATAAGCAGAAATTGAGAGTTGGTGATACCGTTTCCTTCCTTCTCTCTTCAATATCTCTTTTATCTCCTTTTCTCTTTTTTCTTTCATCTTATATATATGTGTGTGTATATCATACATATATATGGCACACACACACACACACACCATCACACACAACACACACACCACACACAGTATATATATATATATATAATTAGATATATAGTTATATATATATATATATATATAATATATATATATATATATATATATGTATTAATATGTATATATATACACATATATATATATATATGCATATATATACGATAATACTATATATATCAATGGTGTTTGCGTCTGTGTGCACGCATGTGCGTTTGTAATTGTGTGTGTGTGTGGTTATATATATTATAATATATATATATTCACACACACATAATATATAATATATATATATATCATTATATATATATATATATATATATATATTTATATATTTATACAATAAACATATATGTATTAGAGGTAAACACTACTGTGTCCATAACCTGGTAAAAAAACGAAATGTAATATATTCATATCTATATCTATATCTTATATCTATATATATGTATGTATGTATGCTTGGGTGTGTGTATGTGTTTTATCTATGTGTGCGTGAGTGTGTGTGTGTGTGTATGGATGTAAATGGATGATTCCCTATATATATAATATATATATATATATATATAATATATATATATATATATATATATATATATATATATATTGTAAGGTTCACATCCAGCTTATGGCCAGATGTCATCTGTGAAGGAGGAGCCCGAAACACTCCTGTGAGGCAGGAGAGGCTTAGAGACCAAGTAGGAAGGAACAAAGGGGTCCCGTTCACTCCTCGAGAAGAAAACAACAAACAAAAAACTGGAAGCCAAAAAAAAGCAATGGATAAACTTCCAGATTATGCGGAAATAGATTGACTATTGCTTCCACATATGCTATTAATCGGGCAGTGCTTTTAAAATAATAGAGTCCTTTCCATACATATACCATAAAATAGACAGAGAAGGGGATAGCGAAGTACAAACAGAAGCAGAAGAGGCAATAGTAGGAAGCAGAGGGAGTAGCAGTAGAAGTAGAAGTAGCAGAGGGAGTAGCAGTAGAAGTAGAAGCAGAGGGAGTAGCAGTAGAAGTAGAAGCAGAGGGAGTAGCAGTAGAAGTAGAAGCAGAGGGAGTAGCAGTAGAAGTAGAAGCAGCAGTAGAAGTAGAAGTAGCACGAAAATAACTAAGTAAAACACGAGTAAGGCAAGTAAAAGCAGCAAGAACGAGTAAAGCAGGAATAAAACAGGTCTAAAATACGAATGCGGGTAAGTAATAGTTAAAAGCAAGACTAAAACTTAACTGAAATCATAAAAGGAATTGGATAAAAGCAGAAATAAAACGAAAACAGGTAAGTATTAGTTAAAAATAACTAAAACGTAACTGAAATCGTAAAAGAAAAGATTCAGTAAGAAATGAAAGACTAAAAACAGAAGTAAAAGCAATAAAACAGTAAAAGCAGAAGTAAAAGCAATAAAACAGTAAAAGCAGAAGTGAAAGACGTAAAACACAGATAAAGGACACGTAAAAGAAGTAAAATACAATAAAATAATGGGCATTGGATTAAAACAACATAAAACTCACTGAAACCTTCATCAAAAGAGATAAATAAAATCAAATGAACTTAGCAGTGAATGGAATACTTCCTAGAAGAGGCTCAGCAATGAAAAACATGTGAAACGTGACAACATGACAGCTACTGAATACTGGTATATACTTGGGAAACGTAATATTTAAGTAACCAATGCCTTATTGATTCACGAACATTAACGTCCAGCATAAATAATACCTAGGCAAGTAACAGGAATGGGCTGGTACAACCTTTGGTGATGTTCAGCAGAGAAGAGGGTAATCCAAAACACACAGAATTCCAGTTGACACTGTTTATTGTCATGGGGCGCGGGCAGTCATAGACTCGTGACGTCACAAAAAACGAATCATTTCCAGAAAAAAAATTACAAATAAAATCCAATTCAATCAGAATACATGATAAAACATAAGATACTAAAATATACACATAAAAACAAACTAAAACACCATAAGAATACCAAATAAGAAAATATACGTACATCAATAAAAATCAAACTAAAACATACATAAAGACAAAAAGGACTCCAGTAATAAATAAAAATACAAGGGAATGATATAAAACGACAAAATAAGTATTTAAAACTAATGACAGAAGAGTTAAAATAAAACTTAAAAAATGACTTGGCAGAAAATGACGTGTCATGTCACTGACACCGCGAAATAAGTTAATTCACTACAAAACTAAAATTAGGGCTCAGGGATAAAACGAGAATCTTAAAACACAAAATAAATATATCAAACAAAAAAAGAACTAGTAAAAATTAACAGAAGGTGGTAATTAAAACAATTAAAAGCGGGCAACAGAAAACGGGCACAGGGGTGACCAAAGCAGTCCCACGCAGGGGAAAACCTGGCGCCGTACAAAGTTAAGTGCGAGTGTAACTGGAGTGTGTCGCCCTCTCCTCTGGACTGCAGACCACACTCCACAATCCTCCATGCCTTGGGTCGGAGTGGTCAGCGGAGACAGGATCTGAAACAAAACCAAAGGTAGGCCTGAGCCCTGTTACTTGCCTTTACAAAGGTGGGTGTGCGCCCAGCTGAGACGTGTCAGTCGTAACCAACTGGAGCACAAAGACAAGAGTTATATATTCACAGAAATAAACCAATAAGAATACTACTGGATCTCGGCAGCTCCATACACGGCGATTGTGACTTAGGACGGAAGCTTAGTGTGCTCGGCCACATCACAATCACCCAACATCTGGACAATAAGATTTGAGCAATATTAATAAGGACAAACAGACAAATATCATGGTTACAAAACACTCCTGATCAGCATGTCAGCGGCTTCACAGACGGCGATGGCGATTGAGGGCGGAAGTTCAGCATGTTCGACCTCAGCATCACTATCACCAAAATCCTCGGACCAACATGGAGCGTCTCTGTAATCATCCCAGAAGAAACCGTCATCCTCACGCTCGAAGTCACCAAATGCATCATTGTTGATAGCCAGGACATCGGCCTCGACAGAACTCTTACTGCTCCTGGTCCTGGCGACGTCATAATCGTCCTGGCTGTCGTTAAGAAAGTCTGTTATGAGTGGATGTGTCTGAGCAAAGGATATCGTATCCTCCCGATGCTCAGTCATTCGGTAGTCGGATTGACAGGGCATTTGTCCGACCTGGCAAGACTACCTGGCTTGGGTCAGTACAGCAAGTTGCCTCCACTGGTGCCACGGTGCCTAATCGCGTCCCACCATGGAGTGTCAGGGTCCTTGAAGACGTGTTAATTGCCCACACAGAGCAACGACGATCCTTGGCTGTCAGAAAAAGGCAGCAGAGTGAGTGTTCGAGCTGTTACAGGCGTTAGCACGACAACACCGTCTGCGGGACCTGCTCGAGCGATACAGCCATCCAAGAAGCATCCTGTCCGTGGAGGAATCTTCGTCAGATGAGCAAGATGCACAGCAGCTCCTGTTTGGTGCTTAGGGTTACGTCCTGGGACGGCAGGCGAATCATCTCTGGGTGCTGCTGGGTGTCGTTCTGACGATCCTGCAGCATTCACTACTGCAAGGGATGAAATTGGTGCCTTTGGCTTTATACCAAAAGCCGTTACTCCCTGCTGCATCTTTGCCAGTGGGGCTGGGAGCTCTGCCATACTGGCTAACTGGAAAGGGACACTCCCAGGCGAGGTGTCCTGGTCTGCGGCAATTAAAACACATACGCCGCCTAAGCTGCTTCTGGACTTTCTTCGAATGGGCTGCTGTTGCTCGGCTCAGAAGTGTTGTGGGTAATGCTCCTGTGGTGCGCACACCATCGACGATGCACTGGAGCAGTTCGTAGGGGTGACTTTTCTATTGCAGAACTGGCGTAGAAGTCTCTTGCTCGAGATGGTCGTTCAGGATAATGTTGAACAGGTTGATCCTCGTCTTTGGGCACAAGTAAAGCTGGTCTCTCGTGCGAGGTGTCCTGTTGCAGAGGAGCATGGCCCGGTTGTTCACTACACTGCCTTAGTGATGTGGAGAATGCATGGGTCATGAATAAGCTCCTGGGAAGTGGCTGCAGTGGACAAAGCAATGGTGGAACCCTTGCCGGACTACAAGTTCTGTGGCTGAACTGCTGCGAATCCGATGGTGGTGCAGCTTCCTTCTCGTAAATCATTTGTTTCAGCTCCTCTAACTCACGGTCTTTCTGCAGCAGCTGGTGATGCAAAACAGTCACTTCGTCCTCATGGCTGGTCGACAATTGTGAACAGCTGCTGGACCCATCTCCCAGAGATTCAGCATCTGACTCCAAAACCTTGGATTTATGCCGTGAAATATGCCAGGCAACTGTTAGTTGAAGCTGTTGAATTTGATCCTTCACTTCCCGAAAATCTGCTGACAGGGCCTCGATCTTCTGAAAAATGAAGGTATAGATGCTGACGTCATCCCCCATCACTCGTGCACTTCCATTCATATCTGGAGAGGAATAAGTCACAGCGAGAAAGTAATTTAGCTAAACAGTGTACCTAGTAATAATTTCACTTAGTTCGGTACGAGGCGCACTACTGCAACAGTTGCAAGCTATACACATACACAAAATAGTATTACAACAGAGTTGAAAGTTCCTTCAGCTTCCTAAGCACACAGCAACAACAGGTCAACATAGCTGAAAGGTTATTAATCGATAACTTTTTATACACGAAAGATATCAGTTCCCTCTACTGACAAGAGCCACAAAGGCTAATTAAACAAACAGCAAACATCTCTGCTCTGCAACG